TAACTGCACGTTACCCGTTCGCGCAGCTATTATTCAGCCGCGGAATCTTGAAATTTGAACTTCCAGACACGTAAATAATAAAGTTTCCTAATAATTCATGAGAGCCCGCTAAGTAATTTTTATCGGCGGGCCCGTAAACAATGGTTATAAGTTGTCTAATGAAAGGCGAAATAAAAACAACGGGGCGGCCGGACCGGCTCGGCTCGGCGCGGCTCGGCCCGGCCCGGCCCGGCCCGGTAACTTTCGAATCGAACCGATGGAGAGTTTTATTTCGGAAAATCTATTCAATGACTAGCGTGGTAATGCCCGGCAACGCGGTTGAACGTCGTTAAACTTTTTCATCTGCTTTTGAAACTCGAAGCCGGTGAAAGTTTTTCTACCATTTTCAACGGTCGATAGAACTACTACATAAATGCATTCCACACTCTCGCTGTTACTTCCCGTCTCTGTCCGACCCGACCCTCTGTTTCTACCCCGCTCCGCCATACGTTTCTCCGAGAAAAAGTTTCCCTTTAACCGAGAAAATACTTTCCCGGCTCGCCTCGGATCATTACACTTATAAATTTCACTCTCTTCCGGCCTCCGAGCAATCTCGAACTGTTAATTGCGAAATCTCTTTACTGTGGCTTCGCTGTTCGCTTCGTTCATTATTAGATCGCGGACGTTTACGCGAATTCATATTTTTTCTTCTTTTTTTAATCGTGCGATTTACAAAAGAGAAAATGGAACGGAAAATTCTTTCCAGCGCCGCCAATGATCGTCCTCCCGTTTCCGAGCGAGCAAATACTATGGCTCGAATATTGTTCGAACGATTTTGAATATTCAGCTATCCACCGCTTAACGCGCTTCGCGTTCTCAAGTGCGGATAATGTTCTGGTTCTTGGTTGAACATCTGCTCTAATTCTTTCCTCGACCCATCCGCAGTGCGATGTCGTATCAGTGCGAGACAATTTTGCGTAACTCGGTGTCACGTGATATCAATGTTCGATAAGAAGAGACGAACGCACAGTGTTTTATAAATGATTTTAATACAATGTAATGGACGGGAGAATGAACAATCAAAAAAAGGCATCATCGCTTCGTGAAACGTCAACGACAACTGACAACAAAATTTGGAGCACTGCGTTTTAATTAACAACGATTTGATAAATTTAAAAAAGACCGATTTCTTTCTGATATATAAAGTAAAAGTTGAAAATGACTATGCATAATCTTCTCTTTTATGAAGCAGAAACAATGGAACAAGATATTTTAGAAGCGTCGCGATTAAAAATGCGATTCGGTGAAAAACATAATCAATTTTTAGCTTGTCGGAATAATTTAACGCTTTATCATTACGCTGATTTGCTTAGGTTTTATTGTTTCTGGTCTACCATTTTTTGTACGCGCTCTTTTAGGGAACATAATTTATACTCTGCTATCCGAAGTGTCGCATAAGCGTTTAATAAAAGTAAAGCTCGGCTGCCGAGATTTATGCGCGTGCAATTAAAGCCATTGTGCAACAAGAAGTGTGTTAATTATTCCGATAAAAAGTGATGTATGCTTACAATAATACGAAACATTCACGCTTACGTTTCGAATACAGGGGGGTCGGATGTAAAATCACTGTTTGAGTAATTATGAGCAGAGCTATATTTTATGCAGCATGACTGGTCAATTTGAAGTGGCTGCAATTTTCTGTCTCGTGCCGGAGAAAAATTCAAATGAGTTCATTACGAGGAGCGGGCAGTTAATATTGTTGTTAACTATCGCTCGCCCGCCTGATATTATAATTCAACTCCTTAATTATAGTTCTGACCATCCGAAAGCAAGGGAAGAAACATTTGTCAATGCAAATATTCTAAGAAACGATTGTGTTGTACATTGAATGTAATTCAGTGATAAATAACAACATACGCGGAAACGTTTTTAATCAATTATTCTTATACTTGATCTTGGCTCTGCTACTCGGATGGCAAAAATATGTACTTGGATCTATGAACAAAAAAAACAAAAATTTAATTACATAATATATAAATAATAATATATAAATAATAATTTTATTAAATCATAAAATGTCGTTTTCAAGGTATTAAAATATGAGCCGTTTATTTTGAAAGTGGCATAAGTCACTTTGTTTTCAAGTCGATATATTTAAGGGTTTGCGTTTTAACACGTTTAAAAATATGGATGCTAACTTTCGAGAAGATTCACTTGTATTTGTTATCTCGGGATACTGATATTTTTCTCGGTATAAATAATTTCGTAAAAACATTAAAAAATCACCACTTTTCATTACGGTAAAGTGACTTATGCCACTTTCAAAATAAACGGCTCATATATGACAAATAATTCATCGCTTTAATCATAGTTCTGACCATTCGAGGACAGAGATGAAATATTTGTCATTCGAAAAGAAGTTAAAAGATGTTAAATGTTCGATTGAAAAAGAATCGTAGCGATTCGACGGGCGTAGCTTTAAATAGATCGTCAAAGAGACGATTTCTGGAATTCCTGGCTGAAAATTCGAAAAGCAGAGATTCGCCGCATTCCACGCTCGAATACGAGATTAAAAGTTATGTTTGGTCGACGGTGGTGGCGAATGAACATTTCATCGGGGTCATCGGTGCTCTAGAATTCCGGCTGTTTTAATTACGCAATAACCAAAGCAGATTATGAGCTAATTATCTTGGATTAGTTTCATAATTCCATATAATATGCCGAAATCGCTGGCACTTCCTGCCGCGTAATAATGAGTGCATAGCGTGATCCGCTCCAATAATGGCGGCCTGGCTCCTTTTCTTTCGCTTTGCCGGCGAGCATGTAACGTAAAGTAACCCTCGTCCTCGTCCCCGTCGTGCATTTCGGAACGAAAACACGAATGCGAGGTGTCCAAAAGAGCAGACAACGATAATTGAAAGCCGCATTTAATGAAAACTAAGCGTCGTTGCTCTCTGAATTAATTGGAGCACACTTGCGACCAGTTATTAATATCGAGACAGGAATCAAGATTAATGTCACTTGTACTGTGAAAGTTGCTCGCGAAAAGATTAATCCGCAGAATCATGCCGACTCGAAGAGTACGTTTGTTTATGCGTTTGTTACCGGTGTTCTTGGCAGAGTTCTGATCGTTGTTACTAGATTGCGGATATCGTGTCCCGTTTTGAGAAGAAACGAGTAGAAAGAAACAGCGGAGAGACTAGAGGAATTTAAAAGTATGAAAGATCTTCGACTTATTAACCCTTTCGCTACTACGGACCACTATAGTGGCTTTCCATATGGTGCCACTGAGGTACTACGGACCACTATAGTGGCTTTCCATTTGGTGCCACTGAGGTACTACGGACCACTATAGTGGCTTTCCATAAGATGCATTATATTGCATAATGTTATTTCCTCTCATACTGTAAATTAAAGAGCGCATGCTAAGACGTTATAAAATACCCTGGAATACCCTTTATTTATAAATACCCTTTGGAGAAAAATTTTTTCGTTCGAAAAATTCATTCAATTCAAACAGCTTAGGTTCTCCGCCGACCGCCGCGGAGTACCGACTTCCGCTGACGATCGCCGTCGCGTAGCGTGCAGTGATAGCGCTCGGAGAATCCGCCCGTAGCGAAAGGGTTAATATTGTTAAAAAAAGTTTATTTTGCCCAAGGATGCAATTTGTCACAGCAATAGCGCAAGAATTAATTTGCCGCAAGGATTATTAGTACAAATGTCGAGGGCTTCGTGGCGAGAATTTTTAATAAACGCGTTGCAAAATAGAAACCGTTGTATCGGTAAAATTGAAGAATTCGTGGTTTAAGATATCTAACGATCAGAACAGCTTCTCACCGTAATCATTAATGCTATGATAAAAATACAAAGAGCTTCGACAGAGAATCGGTCATAAACGCACGGCGAAAGAAGAAATACAGAATCGGTAAGATTTGCCGATCGAATGGACAGAAAATCCAATAATTCCTTTGATGGATCTGAATTCATGCAGGAGACCTTAATGCCTGTTTTTATGGTCGATCGAGCGCAAGGTGGAGCACAGAGTTTGAACGAATCAAAATGGCATGATATTGACAAATGCTTTTCGAAATATTCTTGCGTTCAGTTAAACGCGAACCATCGATTTCTAATCAATTTATATACATCCTTTTATTCGTATTCGATATTCGTACTCCCATTCTCATATTTGCTTGCTTCATGTTTCTTAAAGTATTTGTCACAAAAGCACCGTCGGCATTGTAAAATAGAAATGTAAAATATATAAGAAGATCTTTAAATTTAATTAGTGGAAACACTTGAACCACGGTTACTTAATAATGGTTACTAATTGAATGGTAACCCCGAATAAGGGGTCTATAATTAACTTTAACTATAACTATAACATTTTAACCGTAATACTTATAAGAGCTAATTAACAAATGCAGCATTTATATCTTAAATATTTCCCACAAGCACACACTGACGATTATTTCAACGATTACAAAGCAACAAAATTTTTAATGAACAATCTTGTCTTATTCATGAAATAGTTCACATTTTCAAACGATTCCACATTTTTCGTTTTAAAGCAGTTAAATTATCATGATTCTTTCGTGGAAAATAATTAAATAAATTCCTTAGTCATTATAATAAAAGTGGCGAATTGTTTTACCGTAAAACAATGCATGTTAGTTACTTTTTCAGCTCGGTAGGATTAGTATTTTAACATTTTAAAAGATTAATGAAGATGGAAACACGTTGGAAGCTAAGCACCCCCGATTTCGTATGGAAACCCTTATGTCGGACGGACAAATATCACTATTATTATACCCGACGCGTTTCTGCGACTGCATCCCCTGGTTTCACGTTGTATAAAGTCAGTCGGCGCAGCGTTTTGCACCCTTTTCACTCACTTCTTCGCTGGAACACTGTCGCTTTAAAGTAGTAATTATTTTAAAATAAATTATAATGCCGGCACTGCTTTTGCCGAAACAAAAGTAACCTCGGCTCGTCGTAAGCTAACCTCGTTTTTCATTTTCCAGGCGCGGCGTACATGCAGACGGTCTCAGAAAGCCCGTACAAAGTGCACATGAAACTTGCAATTCGCTCGGTAGCGAAGGCGGATTACGGGGTATACAAATGCATATCAATAAACACACTCGGCGAGGCGGATGGCAGCATCAGTCTCTATGGTAAACATCCTTATGTTTTCTATTAATAGTTCATAGGCATCGAGGATCGAAGCTGTATCATGGTAGTAGAACCTGTCCGAACTCCGAACGTCCTTCGAGATGAAAAATTCTTATGCTTCACGACGTTTTCTAATATTCGTTTCAAAAGGAATTCGATTATACACCGGTAATGGAATCTCGGGCTAGATCGCCGAGGAACTATACATACAAAGTTCCTCAAAATTATTGTACGAGCGGGAATGAAGGGTTCCTGAGGTCATTTGAAGTAACTTTTTCCTTAGCAAAAATGCAATCCGTGGCTTCGTTCACGAGTTATTAGCGAAAAACGGTGACCACTGAGAGGCGAGCGCGGCTGGTGGTAAGCGGCCGAGCCAACGGCGCCAGCGGTCGAGCGGTCGAATTCCAGTTCCGCTGGCGCGAGACGGCCGAGCCAACGGCGCCAGCGGTTGAGCCAACGAATTCCAGTTTCGCTGGCGCGAGGCGGCCGAGCCTACGGCGCCAGCGGTCGAGCGGTCGAGCGGTCGAATCCCAGCTCAGCTGGCGCGAGGCGACCGAGCCAACGGCGCCAGCGGTCGAATCCCAGTTCTGCTCATTGGCTCAGCCGCCTCGCGCCAGCCAAGCTTGCCTCTTATTGGTCACTGTATTTCGTTAATAACTCGTAAACGAAGCCGCGGATTACATTTTCGCTAAGGAAAAAGTTACTTCAAATAACCTCAGGAACTCCTAATTTCCTGCTTGTACAATAATTTTAAAACATCCTATATAATCCTGTATAATTCTTAAAAGAAATTACTTCTCTGTACACAACTGTTCCAAAAGATTTGCCGCTTCTAAGATTGCAGAATTTATCAGTGCGACGGAATTCATTTCCGATATAAACTCGATAATTGGAAGTAATATAATTTCTCATCGACTATTGTTACCCGTGGATATCGATCAAAATTTTCCGTGCGAGCTGAAACGTGTTCGTGAATTTTAGACGTTTAAGAATATTTAAGACCAAGACGAAATAAAAGAGAAAATTGAGAAATTCGCTTGTGAACGAAATCCCGTACGATTTGATCGATAAAATGTTTGCAAACTTTTGCGACACGGTGTAGAATCCATTTTGTGTAAACAAGTTGTTGAATATACTTTTTCGAGTTATAAATAACATAGTTTCTCGCTGATTATTAATAATCACGGATTACTGAAACGTCTTCGTAAATGTTGGAGATTTAAGAACATTTAAGACCAAGACGAGATAAAAGAAAAAATTGAGAAATTCGCTTGTGAACGAAATCCCGTACGATTTGATCGATAAAATGTTTGCAAACTTTTGCGACACGGTGTAGAATCCATTTTGTGTAAACAAGTTGTTGAATATACTTTTTCGAGTTATAAATAATATAGTTTCTCGCTGATTATTAATAATCACGGATCACTGAAACGTGTGTGTCTTCGTAAATGTTGGAGATTTAAGAACATTTAAGACCAAGACGAGATAAAAGAAAAAATTGAGAAATTCGCTTGTGAACGAAATCCCGTACGATTTGATCGACAAAATGTTTGCAGTCTTTTGCAACACGATATGGAAATCGGGTTGCAGCGAATAAGTCGTTGGATATGGTTTTTCGGACTACACCGTAAAGGAGTTAATAGAGAACGTGTGCGAGGGACAAGCAACGCGGAAACTCAAACAAGGCATATGATTGCGGACGATCAAAGTGATCATTGGAATCGACAGCGTTCTTTCGATAAAGGGGACGAAAATTGAATTGCATCGCAGCGTGCTTTTAATAAAAGAGATGACGCAGGACCACCTGGTGCCCTGCCCCGTATGCAGCAGTTACACTAAAACACACGTAACAGAATTGAGATTAAACAAGACACACGCGCGCTATCCCTATTGTTTTGCGTTTTTCGTACACGGTTCTATTCATCAAATATCGAAATACACGTATGCAATTAATTTCGCATAAAACAATCTCGTTTTTAAAGTTATCAAAGAAGAGAACAATGCGCGGCGATAGAAAGTACCGTTGCCGATCAAATATTATCAAAACTTTCATTGTTGTTTCACGAGTTCAGAATGAACCTTCGAAAATATTCCCTTGCAACGGCAATAAAAACGGTAAAATTTGTTTCCATATAAATATACCGGAATAAATGTTAAACGATTGCAGAAGAAACAATTTGATTCGTTACTGCAGTAGAATCTGAAGAATATAGCGCAACTTCGTGTACAGTTTTAAATGAATTTCCTTCGAAATCATTCTACCGAGACGAAAATAAAATTGGTAGAATTTCGACGACGATTTATGCCGCGTTGTACGATGAAAAATGTAACGCGAATCAAGAGCCCGGCGATCTAAACACACAGCGCTTCGATCGCAACACGCCTACCGTGCTTCTAAATGGTTTGGCAATCATTCGAAGCTAGATATCAAAAAGTAATTTATCGTTTCGATAAAGTGAGCCTTTTTATCCCGCCTGAAAATCGTATTTCCTGAAGAGCGGTGTGAGCCGTGAATCACCGATAACCGGGGCCGGCTGTCCCTCTGTTTCTCCGGCAAAAAGAAGCCGCAGCAGCTATCTATCGGCCCGTAATTGTTGGCTTCGCGTTTCTATACGCGCAGATTGAACGCGCGCCGGAGCTTTGTGCTTTAATAAGTTACCAGCCCGATGGATTACCCGGCGCTGCTACTTAAACAGTCGTTCGGCTCTGACCCCGCGATTTAAGGTACATTTATACGCTTTAAACTACGCCCCTTTAAATCGGCCGAAGTCGGCGGCTGGGTAATTGCACCGGGAACAGGATTTTCCGAGTTGAGTAACAGCATTTCTAACGATTGCAACAACTTCGGTCGGCTAATTCCTCGAGGACGTCTGTTTTGATTCACAAGTTGCATAGAAGGCGCGCCGCGGATTCTCCAGCACTGCGAGAAAAAAGAAGCAATGTAATCGCATCGTGACAGCCTTACGAAAATACCGTGTGCCGAATTTTAACAGAAACACGCGTGCACAATAGCACTGCAAATACGATTCACGCGAGGATGACGCTAATTTTTAAGTAGTTACCAAAATTGCTTTTTAGCGTCCAAACGAGTTAATATACCATACGCTGCTTCAATAATTAAATTACTCTGATTTCGTGGGAATTTTTTTCGCGTTAATTTTCGGCACTCGACGAGTCAACGGTGCTTTACGAAGTTAATTGTATTTTTAACATTTGCACGATTTGTCTTATGACGCTATAACCTATTATCTTCTCTTTACTAATTAGTTATTCGTTTATTTATTGTTTATTTAATACCAGAGAGCGTTGTGTTGCTCGATGCATAGCATGCGAATCATTTTGTTTATTGGACAGTAGAAACGAGCGATAAATTTCAATTTTTAGCCTTCTCTCTGATATAAATTTGTCGTTTTTTACTTTGAGTAGCTGTGAATTTACTGTGCCGCGCCTGTAACTTATAAACAAAAATAAATTGGACATGACGCGCATATGTATGCGCCAGCGCTAAAATATCAAAGCCAATCTTGATTTATGCAACCGTGGCTAGTGTTTGCGTCGGGGAAAAAAACATGTAAAATAAATTGTCACGAGGAAGCAGGCTCGTAAAAGTCGGGCTTTCATGTGTTTTTTTCCTTTTTTTTCTTTTTATTTACAAATTCCAAAGTCCGTGAAAATACGAACGATGATATGATTTTTTTAACGACGAATTTTCGCTTCTAATGGGTACTATCGATGTAAAATTTAGGGGAATTGAGTATTTACGAAGTCAACAGAGAGAGACTCTGTGCGACCGACGAACCTAATTCAATATGGATTGCAAACGCGTAGCATCGATTTAACGTGAATTGTATTTAATGATGAAATTAAAGTCATTATCGCGAGAATTTATATTTAGAGAAGCTTCGACCATTTCTAAGACAATAAATGCTCCTCGTGGCGCGAGGAAAATGTAATTTGATATGAAATCGTATCTTCGCAGAGATTCCGACGCCAACAACGCAAATGAGGACGACGTCGACCACTCCGCAGCCTACGATCCAAGAAGGTAAAATTTATAATTTCAGTAAATATATATGATTTTGAATAAATATATAATTTTAGCAGATAATTTTAGGAAAATAAATTCTATGCGAATTTCTTTTTTTCCGTTTCAAATTTTTATAACGAACAAATAAATAGTATTTTCCTAGCGATCTCCTTAATTTTCCTATAATAATTTCCTTCTCTTGATTCGGTATATTTGAACAACATCGAAACAAGAGAATTTTCTATTTTCAATAAAAATGTAAATATTTCTCTAATTAATTTTTTAATTTTAATATAACAATTAATATATACCATAAATAATTTTTAGTCGAAAACATTCAAAATTCACGGCAGAGGCCATTACCAAGCGCCGAACCAAATCCTTTCCAAATAACGGTCTCGTCGTTGCCCAACGTCGTAAGAAACGATGGTAAGTAATTATAAATTCTATATTAAATAATATTAGAACAGGAAATCAAAATCTTCCTAAATCTGAAGCGAAATAAAGTGAAAGTACTATTAATTTCTGTTGATCCACGCAATATTTTGCACGTGAAAATTCTGTGCATAGTAAAATGGATATCATGCTATATTTATACTTTTATACTGCTGTCCTCGATTGAAATATCTTGTCTACTAATCTTCCACTTTTCAGGAACGTCGCGTATTTTGAAATAATTTACCTTTTAAGCAAAGCTGGAATATTCTATATATACAGTAATTTCTCCCCAATTTTCCTTCAGCTTGTAAACAAAAACGGACAATTCAAATGGACACATTTTTATAGTTGCCGATTGTCAACACAAATAATTATTATAAAATAACGTTATTATAAATATATAAATTTATATATATTATTTAAAATTTATTTATAAATTTATTATATTTATATTTATATAAAAATAACGAGGTGCAAGGCTCGAATAATCGTATCACCTCTTCCCAAATTGTTAATTTTTGTTTACAAATTGAAGAAAAATTCGGGAGAATTTACCATACTTCATAGAGTTCCAAGCGTAATTTCGTTTATTTGATTTCACTCTTCTTTCAAAATGATTTTATTAATTTAAAGCTCCCTTTCTTGAACGATCAGAAATGTTAGTTAGAACAGTTCAACCGAGTATAAATAATCGGTATACAGGTCAAAATTCGAATCGGATAGAACAATATCGCAAATCGGCTGTGCGAGACGCCCCTAATCTGCCTTAATTGCGCGGCGTTATAAGATCGACGATCGAGGAAAATTGTGCGTGCCGATTGGTCGATACGTTTCCTGGGGATGGAAATGACTCCTCCAGGATGAATCGAACGCAGGGTGGATTCGAACTAATTAACAGATCGGTTCGGAGAACCGGTCCTGCCGATCGCTGAGGGTGTCTCGCAGGGGCCGCGATTTATGACAGCATTGTTCCCGGAATCAAGAGGTGCCCCGAAACCGTTGCACGTATTAATTGCTTCTCTCTCGCAGTTTCGCTCGTCGAACAATATGTGCCAGTTTCGCCGAATCTACATACGTGCCGACCGCACGAAGAATACCAGCTGTCCCTTGGGATGTAACGAGATTACTGTTACAGACACGCGATAGACAGACAGATTGACGCCGATACGAATTTTTGTCAATAGATTAGCGAAAGCTGAGTACGTCGATCAAACCGATTCAAAACCGATACCGAATTTCAATTACACCATCGATGTATCGCAAACGTTTATTTTATCGCGCTTGTTGTATATCTGCAAATATCGTGATTAAACGTGTAGCTTAAAAATGATATTTCTCTTATGATATTAGCACAGTACGGTCGGCTGCTAATAAAAATTACTGTTAATAATTTTCGTAATTTTCCTGCGACATAAACAACAGGTTTTTCGGTCGAACTAAATGTCTATATTAAACCGCAGCCAAGTTATTTTGAGATATGCAATTACGGTAATCGGGTGAACCGTTTAATTGCGCAGAAGTTCCATTTTGCAATCTACATTGGCACCACCGTCGAATAAATTGTTATTCCTCCTCCGTCCGGTTTGCTTCCGGCTCAAAGAGATCCGAGATATCGTCGAAAACAATTCCAGTTTTCGTTTCATCTTTGACATTGTCTATTTCGGTAACAGATGCGCCGTTGTCAAAACAAGCTTGAATATTCAAACGGCCGCTTCAACGCTTACATGTCGCGAAACTCCCCAAACAAAAATCGAATTAAACATACTACTACGCTGATGCCGCGCCACGATTCTCGCATTGTTCGACCCGTCTACAGATCGTGCCGCTGCTGTCGACTATTTTTTGTTTCAACAATTCGAAAGTTTAACAAAGCGCGCGCCGCGACATATAAAATAAAACGAGTGCCTTTGTTGCTCGTATCTACCTAATTAAAACAGCTCCGACCGCTGCTTGCAGTTATTATCGTTGGCTTTGTATTCGCTGTCCGAACCATCGATACAGACACTAGCGAAATATTTGCCGCCAGTTCAGTGTCGACGAATTCGTTGTTCCTGATATTATTTCCTGATGTTATATCATCGAAATCGTAAACTGTGTACACAGTCGATCGTACACTTCTTGATCGATATTAATGATCAATCAATTTTTACCTTGGAGCGAAATCTTGCAGAATTCTTTCTAAACTTTTAATCTACTTTTTATGATAAAAAGGCGGAAGTTTTTCTATTGCCCTACCGATCATTCTTTCATTTCGTTTTACCATGATATTCGTACAAGATTATATTTTCTTTTTATCATAAGGAACTCGCTCATGAGATTTATTACAACATACTGCATTACAGAATATTATAGAGTATACAGAGTGTCCCAAAAATGTCTCGCAATCCGGGAACAGGAGGTTACTGAGGTCATTTGAAGTAACTTTTTCCTTAGCGAAAATGCAATCCGCGGCTTTGTTTACGAGTTATTAGCGAAAAACAGTGACCAATGAGAAGCGAGATCAGGCGGCCGAGCCAATGAGCGGAATTGGGCTTCGTGCGCTCGTTGGCTGCGCCGCCTCGCGGCAGCCGAACTCGTCTCTCATTGGTCAGTGTTTTTCATTAATAACTCGTAAACGAAGCCGCGGATTCCATTTTCGCTCGGGAAAAAGTTGTTTCAACTGACTTAGAGAACCGCCCAGTTCCTCGGGAAGAAGCCCTTAGGCACGCAGGTTACAAGCATTAACCGCGTAACTTTTTGTAATTTCAATTATAAACTTGTCATTTTTTCCTTTTTAACCACTTGCCATACTTTGACGTGTCTGGCTCACGATGGAGATTTTTTTAGTAATAACCTGCTATTAATATTAGCTATTAATATTAGCTATTACAAATATTAGCTATTAATAACGCTAATTTCGCTTCGAAATAAAACTCTCTTCTGTCGCCATCGACATTTAAGAATTCAAGTAAACGTCGACACTGACAAATACAAGTTTGCTTTTCCATCAAAGAAATGATTACGTTATCATGTAATTCGCTGATAAATAACGATATATACATATTTCTTCAAAATACAGAAGTGTCTTCGACAAATTATATTTTTGTAACCTCGACACCATGAACAAAATAAACAGAACTACGAACGCATCCAGAAACGAGCATGCCGTTAAACCGTAAAGTGTCATCCGTATCGTTGAACTCCAACAGGTTACGATCGAAAAAGTTCGAATCGTTGTAGCTCCGAAGAAAACGGCGCGTGAAGGGGTTGCAATGTGCAACCAATAATTCTTTGGCTTCGTTCCACCGCGATATCTCTCCTCCGCATTAGTCATGCCGATTGCGAATTTCTCTTGCTACGCCGGTTCTGTTGTGTCGGACTTTCGGAGAGTGCGGGAAATCGAAAGATCGATAGATCGACGGGTAAATTCGCGCGGAACACGGCCGAAGACCGTCGCGGCGTCACGACGGTCTTGTCGCGTGTATAATAAGACGTCGAGCGGTTCGAGACGGTGGATTCAATTATAGGGTTTCATCAGAAAGTTTTGGAAACGGACAAAAAGTGGAAACGGTGGGCGTATTTTAACGTAAATACGTTATCCCGCTTAGAAATTCTGGGGGAACTTCCCTTTAAATCATCGCCCCGGCGTAATGCGAGAACTTACGCACACCGGGATGAGAAACTTTTTGAAGGGAAAGTTTAAGAGAAGGCGTGAAATTTACCCGCAAACTTTCAGCAACGTGGCACAACGCCGTAGATCTTCGCCGGGGCGACAAACGCCGCGCTCTCAACGGGATTTTGATGAAATCCCATGCGGTTTATGAACTACTACATCCTCCGAGCCATGGAAGTAATCCGGTCCTCCGTTTCTGGAACTTCCGCGGCGGTTCCCTTTTCCCGTATCCGCACTCTTTCCCGATTCCCGTCCGCCGCGATACCACGAATCGGCCAAATCGAAACAGTCTTCCGCCGAGCTCCGCCGACAAAGCAGCGTTCCGCCATGTTTACGGGCGCGCGATAAACACGGTCAGCTTCTTTCATAGGCCAGACGAAAGAAGGGTACTTAGGAAACGCGGTAAACGTCCACGGAGACGGGAAACACATAAAGCAGATTAACCGACGGAAAAGCACCGGTCTAAGAACTTAAATTGGCCGTAAAGAAAGAGCCTAAAGCAGGATAAGTAATGCCATTGAAATTTCTATCAAAGTTTCCGCAATTCCGCCCGGAATTTTTCGCACTCGAATGCAAGTCCTCCAATTTATTTTCCATCTGTAATTGCGAATTATTTTTCTGTTTAGAGGTTGCCTGCGTCGCACAGATTTTTCTTTCGAAAATTCAAAATCACGGGGCATCGCGTTTGTAATTGTTATGAACGAGTATACCATTTTTGTGACGTCGTATTTGTATCAATTTCGTTCGGCGGGTTTTTGGGAAAATTCAGGATTTCATCGGTCGGTAAAAGACTTTTTATTAATGCAAAAATATTCGAGGGTGGTGCAGAGAGATCAGTGGTTAATCTAAAAAGGTGAGAGATTAATGTAAAATATATCCTATCAAAATCTGTCTTACACCCCTCTCCAAAAACATTAAGGACCTCGGAAACCCCCGGATTTCCCGGAAGTACTATAATTTTGGATCACCCTGTATATATGTACTTGTTACAGTTGGAAACAATCAACTTTGAAATAAAGTTATAACAATTTCCTATTGATTTCTCAAATTTATCTAATTTTCTGTAAGCGTCCTAATAGTTTTGAAGGGGAGTGTACGTTAACAAATATGTGTATTTCTTTTCGCACAAAGTGAATTAATAAATCCAATCGCGTTGGTACATTCAATCCAAGAAAGTAAGCCTCGCACGTCGCATCGAGACTCGCCAATATGCCAAACAGTGCAATATTTAACCCTTTCGCTACGGCGGTTCAGTCCGCCGTAGCGCCCCTCCTGAACGGAACCACCCGCCGAAATTGTGCACATTGCGCGTGGATAGTGTATTTGGGAAGAAAAGGGATTTTTCTTTAAAACAATATAGTTATAATTTCTGCATAAGATATAAAGTTATTTAATAGGTAAAAAAAATTTCATTAACAATGGAAAAAGTGAAGAAATAATATATAATATACAGTAATAAAATAAAACATAATATTCATAATACAAAACATAATACATAATAATTAGTCCTAAAGTTAGTACTTTCGATTTTCTATCCCTTTATGACATGTAACACAATAATAATGGGAAATGCAGGTAGAACAAATATAACTTGAATGGTGTGTCGTTTATTTCGGACTGTCGTTTGTTTGTTTCGTCAAAAGATTCACGCAATAGTAACAAGAGGCGGTGCAGTCCAAAAATTAGGTCGCGATTTTACCAGCATGTCGGATATATCCGGCGTTCGTCCCCAGAGGGCGATCATGTGGATGTCGGATATATCCGGCGTTCGGCTCCGCGAGTGTTCATATGGATGACGGATATATCCGTCGTTCGGAGCGAAAGGGTTAAG